GAATGCCTACGTTAAAAAGGCCTTGTGCCACATGACACCCTCGTGGGGGGGGGTGACTGAATATCGTCAGTCAGCAGTTCACTTTCTGAGCGACTGTTCGGTTAAACTCTCTTCCTACGGGCGGGAGGAACCCGAAGGAGGCTACGCCGAAGGGCGGAGTCTCCTTCGGGGAGGTAAAACCGGCCCTGAACCCGTTCATACGGTTTCAAATGGGCTATTTTTGGCCGAGCCTAATGGCTCGGGAATGCCCACGTTAAAAAGGCCTTGTGCCACATGACACCCTCGTGGGGGGGGAGTGTATATTGTCAGTCAGCAGTTCACTTTTGAACAGACTGCTCGGTTCAACTCTCTGTCTCCGGACGGAGAGGAACCCGAAGGAGACTACGCCGAAGGGCGGAGTCTCCTTCGGGGAGGTAAAACAGGCCCTGAATCCGTTTATACGGGTACAATAGGCATATTTTGGGGCCGAGCCTACGCGCTCGGGGATACCACATTAAAAACGGCCTCGTGCCACATGACACCCCAGTGGGGGGACTGAATATCGTTAGTCAGTAGTTCACTTCTGAACCAGCTGTTCGGTTGAACTCTCTGCCTTCGGGCGGGGAGGAACCCGAAGGAGGCTACACCGAAGGGCGGATTCTCTTTCGGGGAGGTAAACCGGCCGTGAACCCGTTTATACGGGTTCAATGGGCATATTTTTGGCCGAGGCCACGAGCTCGGAGAGCCCACGTTAAAAAGGCCTTGTGCCACATGACGCCCTCGTCGTGGGGTGACTGAATATCGTCAGTCAGTAGTTCAAGTCGAGTCAGTAATTCAAGTCGAGTCAAGAGTCGAGTCAGAGGCAGTCTGAAACAGAGTCGCGTTCAGACAATTACTGCAAGACATTGGAATAGTGATACTGGTCGAGACTACAGTGTTCTCTCTACTAAACCTGAGTGTTCATACATATATTCTCTGTATATATTCCTGTTGTAATATATCTGTGTTATTCCATACCTGTGTTCGAGTTCTTCTTTATTGGGTCTACCTTGGACTATCACCGCGGTACAAGGAACCGGACCTTAACAATTCTATAATTTAAAAATTCTAGCAATTTTATGACCAAATCTGATAAGAACCTAGAACTTAATGAGTATACGGTTCAGATAAATCTGTTCTGGATATATTTCTGATATGTAACTAACATTGATTCCTTTAGTTTAGTATCGTGTGTCAAAAGTTGAAATCGAAAGTTAAATCAATAGTTTAAGAGAGGAGAGCTTCCTTGACTAAAAAGAAAATTCTAAATCCTGACTGTTTACCCGGGTTCGATAACCAATTATTGGTAGCAGAAGGAAATAATTACTTCAGATCTAAGGCAGGCAAATGATGATTAATGCTCTGAGTCTTTCAGTAGGGACAGACTCTCGTTGGATAACTTTTGACAGTAATCAACTGATGACTTTACACATATTTACTTAATTGTGTCAATTTATTGTTTTAATTATGCGAATGAATCGTTTCCATCATTGTATATAAATTAGTTACTTTCCTTGTCTTTGTTCCAGAAACTATTAATCAAGAAGGTAAGATTGGTAAATTTTTGGTTTCGGCACCAAAAAATTAGTCAAGTTCAATGGTCAAGGGAGAAGACAATCTCAAGAATACACGGACACGGGTACTGGATGTGACGAATATGAGAAGAGAATGCACAATCAGATTAAAATTATTTTCGAATAACCGGGGAAAACCAGAGAAAACGCAACTGAAATTGAATTTTCGAATAGGGAGGGAAGACTTACTTAATGTAGATTTATCCTTAAACCGAAGTAACGTAAGGTGAATTTTCTGAAAACGTGGATATCTGTAAATTAAAATTAAAGCATTCATTAAGTTCAAAAAGATCATGAGTAACTCCGTGAAAATAAAGGGTTTTTCAATAGCTTGAACCGATTTTAAATGTGAATTAAGTTTAAGCGTCTAATCATTACAACAGTTTGAAATGCGTAAATCTTTTCATACCTATAAATTTCTAACAATACGTATCTATCACCCATGTAGGTAAATTAAATTAATTTTATTAAATTTAATTAAATAAAAGTAAAAGAAAACTCAATGGCATCTTTAATTTAAATATTGAACATCTTAATTGAAATATATGCAGTTAGTTGGTTTGAAATTAAAAAAAGATAATAAATTCTATAATCGACAACTGTATATCTTCAACCTGATACAAAGAATAAAGCAACAGTCGACCGAAATACAGAATTAAAAAATTTGAATTTTGAAGTCAAATGAATTGGAGGTTAGGGAAGAGACTATTAAAAGTAAATATTTATTCATAATTAATTAGTTATGTCAGTTTACAAGTCTAATTTTAAAACTTCATTCAAATTACATCACTAAAATGTAACCCAACAAGGGTAAATTTTCCAATAAAAATATTTTTTGTTACTTCAGAAGTAGCGAAAAAAGAGATTTAAAAAAAAATAATTTATCAACCCTAAAGAGACACACTGATTAAAATTTGATTAAATTGCAGAAGATTTTTCAAACAATAAACTAAAGGGTGTTCCAATAATCTGGAACGATTTTAAATGTGAATTAACTTTAAGCATCTAATGATTGTTTTTCTTTTCCTTTCAGATTTGGCGAACATTTGGACGACATTATTTTTCACACATAATTGCCATGACTTAAATAAGATGATCTAATAGAGAAATAAATACGTTTTCATCAATAACACTGATTTATTTACTGCTGATTTTTGATTCGTCTTAATGAAACACCCTTATATATAATCCGTCTTAATGAAACACCCTTTATCAGACAACGTCAGCACTTTGCATAGTTTTCTCCTTATTTTAATATAGGGTATTTGTATAATGTCTCCCAGTTGATTCGCTATATTTACATAGCATTGCCTTTGTTTTGAATGTATTTGTGTAGCCTTGCCATTTTATCCATGGTACTTTTGTGTCCTTATTTTTTCTGGTCATTTATATAGCTTTCTCATTTTATCATGTGTATTTGTGTAAAAATCGGACCGCAGATTTCTAATTCCAGTCGAGTTCGTAATATTCACTCAAACACAAATACCCTGGCAAAGGTATTTATCCACTATTTCCTCCTAGCTATGGGTTGATTAGTAGAATGTGTATCAGTAAATCCTTATGATGTCCAAAAAATATTTTTTGGCTTTAAATAACCGGAAAAAATGTTGATAAGCCATAAAAAAGAAATCTGTCAATCAAAGTAGGGAAAAATGATAAAAATGAGCAAATTGATTTGTTTTCTAAGGCTTATCAACCCATTGCATGTTATTTAAAGCCAGAATATATTTTTAGATTGTAATAATTTTTTAGATAATAATGGTTTTAGTTATACAAATCTTACATTGACGTAAAGTAGGCTTGGAGAATTAAACACCCGTGGCAAAAATGCAATGAATAAACTATTCCACTCGTCCGAGCAAATGGGCAAGAGAACAAGTGTCGCAGAGGCAATGAGGATTATCAAAAACGGCAAGAGCTATTTATTGTTTTATCTTGCCAATCATTGCTCTCTACAACTTCCTTGACAATTTCCCATGTTCCTTAGCAAGGGATCGTATATATGTCTGGAGTGAGCGTGAGTCCTAATAGACATTAAAGACAAGCAGCCAATTTTCATCATGACATGTGAAAATTCAGGGTTTGCTCAGCCATGATGGAATTTTAATAGTTTGCTTTTGGATTTAAATTAATAATAACTTAAAAATGGGGAACATGGTAACATCAACTGTTGTAGTTGGAGCCCTCAGATTGGTTGGAAAATATGTCAGTAGACTAATTGAAGGGATTCCTGGAAGCCCATGCCTTAAAGAAATACAGAAAAATTATTCTCACAAGTACAGCCCACAACTTACGAAGGGTTTTATCTATGTAAAATATGTGTTTTTTTTTTTGTTTTTTTTTTCAGTGGAAAATATCATGATGCCATTTCTGACCTTAGGTCTTTGGGTGGGACCCGGAACGAAATGTGTACACACCAGAAATCAAAGGAAATAAAATAATAATAATAATAATAATAATAACAACAACAACAATAATAATTAAGGTGTATAACATTCTCTAAGACTATATTTATGTTTATTCATAGCTCATAAATTAAAATTTAAGTGTAAACCAGTAAAATGATGTAGAAGCTGGGGGTAGAATATATAGATTCATATCTTTCCCAAGGGCATTTGTGCGTAAGTGAATGTAACGAACACACCAGGAATTGAAACTCGGATCTCTGATTAACAATTCCGATCCATTTTCCATTACACCATCCGCATATCCAATCTTCCGGCACCTGCTATTCCCAAGCAGTCACCTGATGGGGTACTGACCAGGTTCGACATTGTGGTCGGTCTGTGATGCGGCGTAACTCCGAACAAACCAAATATATAATTTTTCTCAATTAATTAAATTGTGAAATCGTAAACGTAAAGCCGAGGAATAAGCTATTTGCTTAGATTAAGTCATAAAGAAAATTGAGTATGTGAATGTGTAAAAATGAACAAATTTGAAAATGGCTTCTTTATAAGCAGTTTATTTTGGAACAAAATCCAGACCCCATGATTTACTCTCATTAAATCTGGAATATCAGTCTTAGCAAGAATATTCAAATTAACCTCGGGTGCAAAATGGAACAGTCTTCTTCTCAAAATGATCATTAAGGCTAAAATTGATGTCATTGATAACATTATCGACCAGATAACTTTTCATCATGAAAATCCCGTTAGACGCTAGCGATGTCTTATGTTTTCTTATTTTAACAATTTATGGCTACCCCATTTTTTTTTTTTTTTTACCATGAGTAATTTTCCATTGTTCAAGTTTGTAACTTATAGTTGAATTTATAATAGTTTCCTCTTCGTGTCTGCATATGTGTTTGTGTCAGTTTTCGCTTCTTTTTTTTTTTTTTTCTTTTTCCTGACATTCTCTCTTGCGCATGTGCAATCACGTCTTATTAGAACTCGGTGTCATAGCTTAATGTTTTGTATTAAAAGTCACTTTCCTTTCCCGTATCACTTTTCCCGCCACTTCCTTTGCCCCTGCTGTTTCCGATGCACCACGATCAGGTTTTACGACATGTCGCTATTTTGTTTAAGAAATGATGATTTTTTTTTTTGATTTTTTTACAAATTTTACTTTTTTGATTTATTTGCTCGTAGTTTTATTTTCGTTTTCTCTCTATTCTGTTTTATTTTTGAAGTAACCTATCGCCCCAAAACCTCCTTGTAAAATAAAACACTTACTAACTATAGCTTTCTTGTAAAGTGTTATTTGCTCGAAAAGGAATCTACTTGCAGGTATATGTCATATAACATTTTATCTTTGTGTTCATGTATGTCTGCATGAGTCTATGTGATTTTTCATATATACATCGCCGTTATTGTTTTGTTTAGTTTTCGTTTTATTTTTTTTTTTTAAATCCTGATAGTTTTTTGGGCTTTCTCACAAGGAATTCTCTTTCTTAATATTTTTCTCTCTCTCGATCTCGTTTTTTTTTTGTTACCTTCATTTTTTTTATTTATTTATTTTTTTTTTTTTTTGAGCCGCTTGATTTATCCTGCCGTTTTTGCAGTAAAGTCGCTACGGTACGGATTCCAATCTTTGTTGATCCTTTTCTTTATCCAATTTCTTCACCTAACATTCTTTTCAACATCGGAAATTTTCCTCGTTCTCAGACTCTACCTTTTCGCTTTCCTTCATTATCTTCAGTCCTTTAATCTATCAAAAGTAGTTTTCACACAAATATATATATATATATTAAGAAATGGACAAAGTCCGACAATTTATTTATTAAAGACATTTTTATGTTTAACGTTCTTTTTTATAGATACAAGTATTTAAGTAAATGCTCTGTTTATAATAAACAGTATTAAATAACATTTACTGGCCTGAATGTCCGAGAAATTTTCATAGAAAATATTCGTCCTTTGACAGGATTCGAACCTGCATCCTATACGGAACCGTCATTTACCGTCTATGAAAATTTCTCGGACATTCAGGCCGGTAAATGTTATTTAATACTGTTTATTATAAACAGAGCATTTACTTAAATACTTGTATCTATAAAAAAAGAACGTTAAACATAAAAATGTCTTTAATAAATATATATATATGTGTGTGTGTGTGTGTGTGTGCGTGCGTGCGTGTGTGTGTCTGTGTGTATAAGGAACCATATTTTTAAAATAGTAAATTTATAATATTTATGCTGTGTAAATTTACACAGAGCACTGTTTTGTAAAAAAATATATTAATAAAAAAACCGGAATATATATCTTATTGTTCTTTCTCTTTGTTATGTGTATATATATATATATATATATATATATATATATATATATATATATATATATATATATATATATATAAGTGGACATTGAGGTAAACACCCAGTGGTGACAGTCTATTTCATGCTTAAACGCAATCTTCAGACCATGAGAGTGACTCTGGCTCCGATGGTTGTTCCCCTCAATGTCCACTTTTATATTTACATACGCTCTATCCCCGATATTGCACACTTTAACCCATAAATATAGCATACCTTAAAACTATCTTTTCATATATATATATATATATATATATATATATATATATATATATATATATATATATATATATATATATAGTTATATATATATATAAATATAAAAGTGAACATAGAAGTCAACACTTAGAGGCGACAGTCTGTTTCATGCTATATGCAATCGTCAGGCCACGTGTGCTGATATTTTTCTCGGCTATTTATACATATATATATATATATATATATATATATATGTAGGTTTTGGGAAATGAAATAACTAAATATATGCAACCGCATACGCGCGTGCTGGCTTGTATACACAGGTAAGCAAATAAATAATTACCAGATTTTGCCCAGTGTAAACATAATTGTGCTCGATGTGGTTAGACAGAGCCATGAAATATATATTAATAAATATGCATAGACCTACGTTTGGTGTGCGACTTAGTTTCGTTGGCTTTCCAACTTGTCGGGTACAAGATATAGCTTCTTTTTTTAAAAAAATATATGCAGGGGATCATAGTAGGAACACTGATACATAGTTCAAAATTAAGATGGTGCGAAAATAGTACAAAGCCAATACTGAGGTTTAAGTGCAGTGAATGGGATGCAGTTAGTAGTCATTAGGGAAAAAACCAGAAGTGGAAAATTGTAGCACGTTTGAAATTTAAAATTTGCACTCTGTTCGGTATCACATAGAGTGGAGATTATGGAGTAAAAGGGAGATAATCAATGTGAGTCCTAAAGTAAATTAAACCGAGAAATATTTCATTACAATGTTTTAGGAGTAACATTTTTTGATTCGTACAACTAGACATAAGTACATTCCGCTTATTAAATAAACTTAAATTATTAATAGTTTCGAGTATGTATTTTTCTAGTAAGCATAAGTTGCACCGTTCCCACTTGCCAGAGTATAATTTGATTTTAGCGATAATTTTCCATTTTACAATAGGTGTGTAACTATCTGTTTTGATACCCGAGTAGAACTGAAAGAGTGTTGTAGCATTTGCTTATTTTTTGTTAAGTGTCATTTTGTGATAGTAAAAATGTTTTTTTTCCAATTATTTGCAGTTGACCCAAAATAAAATTTTATATAGCCATTGTGTCTGATGCAAGCCTTATATATAACCCCTTTATACATGCATTTACCTTTCATAGGACAAACAGAACCTTTACGGTAATCGCATTTTTGATCATCATAACTACTGTTGCTATTACTGATGCTTAAGTATTTGTTAAGGGTTACACTATTATGCTGGGCTATATATTGGTCAATTTTTCTAATACAGCTGTAATTAACCTTAATGTTGTTCTTGTTGAAGACTTTTTGAGTAATTTGGTCATGACATTACTGTTAAAATATGGGTTGAACCAAATTATGTTGCGTTTTCTATTCCTACGTTTTATGTTAGTGTTTGGGACGTACTATAGTTTAATATGGTGCTTGCTTTCATTTAGTGCGTCAATATATTTGTTTTTTTTTTTATTTGTCAAAGATGTCCTTATTACTGGAGTTAGTAGTGAACCTATGTTGCACGGATTTGTGTAGGTTATTAAGGATTCTAGGTGGGTGGTTAGAATCTGAGCCTCCATAATAGTAGTATGCCGACAATAAGCTTATATAAATATTGCTGTAGCATACTTACGGTCAATAATGGATATGTCCTCATTCCCATAAATACAGTATTAAATACTGTATGTTGGTCTGCAGTTGGAGATTTATTGTGGCATTTACTTGACCCACTTCTAGCAGTTGAGTTCTTCTTCTACGCGACGATGGCGAAACATGTGTGTGTTGTTCGTGTCCTAAGTCTTATCGTTCATTACCAAACTTATTTCATTATTCTGTAACTAGGTTACAACATATATACACAAGCTTATATATATATATATATATATATATATATATATATATTAAGAAATGGACAAAGTCCGACAATTTATTTATTAAAGACATTTTTATGTTCAACGTTCTTTTTTTTATAGATACAAGTATTTAAGTAAATGCTCTGTTTATAATAAACAGTATTAAATAACATTTACCGGCCTGAATGTCCGAGAAATTTTCATAGAAAATATTCGTTCTTTGACAGGATTCGTACCTGCATCCTATACGGAGCCGTCATTTACACTGACGTGCCTTACCGATCGGCCACAAAGGAGCGTTCGGTAGGCAAGGTCGAATTTACTGCTTATAAACTTAAATTCGACCTTTTCAAAAAGACTACCTGTGTATAATGCGACTCAATTATTTGTGCAAAAAAATCATCATTGAAAAAAAAGGTGTTCCAATAACTTAGACCGATTTTAAAGTTTAAACGTCTTTTTTCTTTTTCTTTCAGATTTGGTGGACAATTGGACGATATTAATTTTCACACATAATTGCCATGACTTAAATAACATGATCCAACTGAGAAATAAATAAATTTTCGCCAATAATACTGATTTATTTACTGCTGACTTTGATGCGGCTTAATGAAACATTCTTATATATAATCCGTTTTAATGAAACACCCTTTATATACGGCAACGCGAAGAGAAAATAATGACATAAACAAGATGTTGAAATTATACACTACTTCAAATATATAGTTTAGGAAAGACTCCCCAATTAATACTGGAAGGAGCGATAACATCTACTGTACTTGTGAAGCCTATTTTCTATAAAAAAAAAAATGCCCAATGGGAAAGAATTGATAAATTTCAGCTGAAAATACTACTAGCTGCTCGGTCAATGAATGCAGAATATTTCCTTGTAGGGAAACGGCCAGTATTACCATTGCTATTTCATACGTCTCTTTCTTTGTTCGTTTCTTTCTACTGTATTTTTCACCCTTACTGTCTTTATTTATTTATTTCTTCCTCTCTGCCTTTACTCCTTATTTTTTCCCTTGTCTTCTTTCTCCATTACTTTTTATCTCTTTATTTTTTTATTTCTTCATTCTATGTTTTTCTTCATTACGTAAGTTATCTCCTATTGTTTTTTCAATCTCCATTTCTCTCCAATATCGACTAGTTCTTATCTCTCTACATTCTTCCCGTCATTTTTATTATTTCTTTTTATTTATTCTTATTCCTTTGATTTTTTTTTCTCTCCCCTTACAATTAATGTTTTCTTTTCAGTCCAGCCTCAATTTTCCCTGTCCGTTCCCATCATCCTTTGGTCTTCGTCGAGTTTCCTCCTTCATATAATTCTATTTTGAGTCCACCCATCATCTTCTTAAACCAAATCTTTTCCTCTGACCATAAACGTCCTAATCTGCCCTAATTATATAAACCGCAATTGCTAGACAAGCGATAAGCCACAATTCACTATTTAGTCCGGCTGGATCCAAACCAAATCAATTTTTTTCCCCTGTTCCACTCTGTGCTCCTATTTTCTCTGTTCTTTTTTTTTTTCTCTTGTTACTTTACATATGTGCGTGTACCATCTCGGTGGCTTTTAGTTTCAGGATTGTCTTATTGTTTTTCTTTTTCAGCCTGCCCAATGGTTTAGTTCAGATTACGAGCTTTTTGGAACCAGGCCATAACGCGTCTGGATAAATGCGGAGATCGAAATGTGATTGGTAGTGAAATACGAAAGAAAAATAATTATAGGAAAAGAAACAAAAAGTTAGTCGGGGCTTTGGCGGTGCCAAGAAAGAAACGTAAGCTGATTTTGTTTTGGCGTCTTTTTTTTTTTTTGTTTTTGTTTTTGTTTTTTTGTTTGTTTCTTTTTTTGTTTTTTTTTTGCTTTTGTTTTTTTGTAAACAAGTCTGAAAATTGTGCAGAGATTAAAACGAAAATATATAAATTTTCAAGAGCAAAATTTGAAAAAGTAAAAACCACGTAGATTAAGTAGAGCATGACAAGAAAAAAAGAAGAAAATAATAATAATAAGAAGAAGAAGAAGAAGAAGAAAAAGAAGACCACTTCAATAATAATAAGAAGAAGAAGAAAAAGAAGAAAAAGAAAACTATATCAATAATAATAATAATAAGAAGAAGAAGAAGAAGAAGAAGAAGAAAAAGAAGACCACTTCAACAATAATAATAATAATAATAATGTAAATGGAAATAATAATGTAAAATCCTTCCAGCTCTGTAAGCATAAAGTGCAGAGTTTTCGCCTGAATGTTATTAGCCGTTGATGCTTACATATATATATATATATATATATATATATATATATATATATATATATATATATATATTCGAGCGGAACTCATAATTGATACAATAATAGTTAATAAAAATGAAAACGCTACCGCCCCTGTCTAAACGATTGAATTTCTCTGTATCCTTGGAAACAAAAATTATGGAATGTATGTGCGTTTAAAAATCAGTAAATGTAAAAATAAGTTATTCCAAAATTCGATTGAAGATGAAACAGAACTAATGTTTTTAAATTTTAAATTAAATTTGAAGTTTTTAGCTTCGGTTTTTGAAACATGGTAATTCGTGTGTAGCGAAGAAACCATATTTTAAATCAGTTAATTTATCATATTTATGCTCTTTAAATTTACAGTGAGTACTGTTTTGTAAAAATAAAAATATAAGAACACTGGATTATATATCTTCCAGTTCTTTCGTTTTATTATTATAATATATATATATATATGCAATTTTTATATATATTACTTATATAATATACATGCGTGGTACCTATTGGAAAGCGTTCAATATCAGTGATAGAGCTAACATATTTAGTTGCGTTGATGCTGCGAGTTTGTGACCCTGGGTTTTACGCCCTTTGCGATCGTCAGACAAACTCACAACGACGATCGAAGAGGGTTAGTACCCAGGGTCACAAACTCACATCAACGTAACTAAATAAAATATATATATATATATATATATATATATATATATATATATATATATATATATATATATAATGTATAAGTGCTTAGGTATGCAGAAAATAGAAAAGAACATGTTGGGTGGATAATCCGGGGGTTCCTTAGTATTTTTGTTTTTATTTTAACAATTTTTGTTTTATTTAAGACAGTGCTCCATACAGAAGTAGAGCTTATATTATAATCATATTTTTTGTTTAAAAATATGATTCCTTCTCATATTTCAAAAAACGAGAGCCGGCTCTCGGTTTTGAAACATGAGAACTCTTATGTAGCGAAGTAATCATATTTTTTAAACAAAATATATTATTATATATATATATATATATATATATATATATATATATATATATATATATACTGTTGTTAGGCTTTCCAATTTTATTTGGTGGGCACATTTTTCAGTCCTTAATAAAACTGGCGATCTTGCTTTTCACCTTTTTTTTTTTGATTTACCTTTTTACGGTAGCTATAAAAATGTTTGATTCTTTCCTGGTGTTTGCTTTTAATAAGTCTTTTTTATTGCGGTTATTCATTTGGGGTAGCTATCGAAATACTTATTCGGTTTTATTAAAAACTAGCTTAAATTCCGCTTTATCGGTTAAGCATTAAGGATATTGGGATTGCTTGGTTGAACATTGGCAACCCCGCCCTTAATAGGTTAGTTTAAGTCATTTTTGCTTTACTTTCTTCTCTTCAGCCAAGTTAACTTAGCTAGATTACGTATGTGCACTTGCCCCTTTTATTTCTGTCCCTATTTTTCTTTTGTTTAATACCTCATCCCACCCATGGTTAGGTGGTCAGTGATGTCAGTTCTCTGGTGGATGCGGGCGCCTTTCATTTCGGGTGTGATTTTCAAACTGTTGTTGTATTTGAATGAGTGTGTGTTTGAGTGTGTGCATGGGATGTATGCATTGATTTCCTCCCGTTAACTGAGGTTCCTATCACATTTATTACTGTTATAGGATCTTACCCATAATAATAATAATGGACTATTCCATACTTAATAAATACTGCGCCGCAGGAGTCAGTCAGTAGTTTCAAGTCGAGTCAAGAGTCGAGTCAGAGGCAGTCCGAAACAGAGTCGCGTCCAGACAATTACTGCAAGACATTGGAATATTGATACTGGTCGATACTACATGGTTCTTTCTACTAAACCTGATTCTTCATACTAACACTTCTACTTCTCTGTATATATTCCTGTTTCTAATATATCTGTGTTATTCCATACATGTGTTTGAATTCTTCTTTATTGGTTCTACTTTGGACTATCACCGTGGTACAAGGAACCGGACCATAAAAATATATATACAAACAAGTATATGCATTAAACAAGAAAATTTACAATGGACATAGACATTAACATTTGTGTTCGTGTGTGAACGTAAAGATGTATTTTGGTGAATGTTCGGTCGTACGTGTATGTGTGTATCATGTTCATGGTGTCTGCTACAAATGGGAAGACGCAATCTTCTGTGAGAGCTTACATTGTAGATGTGATCGCTGAGATGCAAAGTAAAAAATGAACGAGGCAAGAAATCGCTTAGTATTTATAGTATAGGGAGAGCGCCTCCGAGTGAACAATTCGGAAAAAATAAGGAGGAGTTAACTCCGACACTGCTCTCCAATTTCATAACAAGTCTTACCGGACATAACAATTACTTTGTTGGGGTTTTATTTCTAACAATATTTTGTTTAGTTTCTTGTATGTAGTTTTGTACACATTTGTAAATACTCATTGGGGGTTTTAGATATTTTATTTGTTATTTTATTCTTCTCCCCCGACAGACAATGAATTGTACATATGTGGACTAGTTAGGGCTTTCGTAGAGACATTGTGGTATTATAGGGGATGTAGCAAGGATGTTAATTTAGAATGCGTTTTTATGTGAACGGAATGTTTGGGTCAGTGTTTGTGGCTAGCTTGGTTTTACGGTAAGACAAAAACAGACCATACTTTTCCACATTTCCATTTTCGGTCTTGTTCCACCTTTGTACTTTATGTGCAATAAATATTATCACTGTCCACACTTCTTTGTCTATTCAGGGACAGTTCGTCATTTGTTTGACGCCAAACGCATCTCTACCGCTAACTGAATTGCTTTTTGATTTACAACACTTATTTTCGTTAAGTTCCTTTTAATTTTTGTTATGGTCCGGTTCCTTGTACCACGGTGATAGTCCAAGGTAGAACCAATAAAGAAGAACTCGAACACGGATATGGAATAACACAGATATATTACAAACAGGAATATATACAGAGAAGTAGAAAGTGTTAGTACGAACAATCAGGCTTAGTAGTAATTGTCTGAACGCGACTCTGTTTCGGTCTGCCTCTGACTCGACTGACTGACTCGCTCGCTCTGACTGACTGACCGACTCCTGACGGACTTCACTCCAGACTTCAGATTGAACTCTCCCTGCTTCCTCTTGAGGCGCAGTATTTATTACGTATGGAATAGTCTATTATGTTATTATAGGTAAGGTCCCATAACAATTTTACTTTTTCTAACGCTCATTTTACTGACCTTTTTGTCAAAAGCTTGATTATTTTTTATTTTTTCTCACGCGCCTCTTTATTTTACTTTACCCATTTTTGTTTCTTATTCTTTTATTATTAATTTTAATTTTCTTGTATTTTATATTCTTTTTTAATTTTAATTTTCCATTTTAATTTTCAGTAAACCACCCGCATAAAATCTTATTTTTCTTTGTTTATTTTACGGGTTCATTTTTTTGTCCGTCTTCATTTTTATTTATTTATTTATTATTACGTGTTACTTCGTTCTTAGTTTTTCTTTTTAAATATTTGTTAAGTCTTCTATGTGTTCATTTGTTCTAATTTTTCGTGTTTAGTTTGTCTAATCTGCACGTTTTTTTCTTCTTTTTGTGTTTTCGTTTGTTATTGGGCTGACTTGTATTTAACGGCAGCCATATTGAATTTTCTAAAATTTATCATTTGGACATATTGTTTCATATTTGTCCTTTGTATCATATCGTTTTATTTGTTATTGTATTATTTAAAAAAGAAAGACTTATTGTTGCTAAACTTCTTTATTTCTTGTCTGTTTTATTTTGTGTCATTTTTCTTTTTTAATTTCTTTGCACGCGTTCCCGATTTTGTGTGTAATTTTTGTTTTTCGTTTAAAGAAAATTGAGATTGTTTTCCTTTTTTGTAAGGTATTTTTTGTACGTCGAAGTGTTTTAGAGTTGTCAAATTTGTTTAGTGTTTAAGGAAATTTAAAGGTGTCTGATTATTCTCAGAGTTCTTTTTAAGTCAGCGTTTAGAAATATTCCAAATGACCTTTTGGAGTACCTGAAATTGAAGAGAATCGACATAAGTAATAATATGGAGACCAATAAATACCCGTTATAAAATCTAAGGGTGAAAATGGCCAAAACATGACCAACAAAATGATTGAAGCGAGTAAGAGCCAAAAAATATCCTGGTGATACGGAGGCCAATAATGGCCAAAATTTGGACCAGAAGTTTAAGAAGGGAAATAATAATAGCCAGACAAAATCATGGAGGCTAATGGAAGCCAAAAAATATCTAGCCAGAAGATGAGAAAAGGTTCCACGGAAGCCAATAAGGACCAATTGTTTGACAAAAATTCAAATGCTGAGGCCTGGAATCGCTCTGTTGTTGGAAGTCCCCCCACCGAAATTGCATAATCAATATCGCGGATTTCTTGGAGCTATCTAAGAGTTATGCACACTTTGTCGAAGAAGGCTGAAGACCCCAAGAACTAAAGAAGATTGAAAGAAAAATAGTATCAGTCTTTGCCGTCGACAAGCGTACATGCAAAATTTTGTCATACAACGAAAGACACAGAGCTGAAATCACTGGGGTCTCTGGGGGTTAAGCCACTAAGAATAGTAAAGGAGGCTGGCTTTTTCGTGTGGAACGTACTGTTACCCACACCGGAAAATTGTATTGAAGCATCAAGTAGAAACTTCATTACTAAGGATTTAATCCTGCATACCGAATACGAAGTCAGGGGTAACATCTAATAGCAATATACTATGTTCCTCCTCCTGTTATCGCAGAACATTTAGCTGCTTTTCTTTTGCAGTATGGCGAGGTACGGTTTGCTTCTTGAACAGGGATGGAGTTTCGGCAACTGTTGGACCGAAAAGCCTTACACTGCATCCCCTACTATCTTGAAGTAGGGGTCATGAAGCTGCCAGCCATTGTGACTGGCCGCAAACCGGTTTGCTGGAGGTGTGGAGAGACTGGCCACTTCCCTTCTTCTCGCCCAGAGAAGAAGGTCTCTGGAAGTGAGGCTCAAGTCGACCAAAATCCCCCTCTGGCCGCTGTAATGCGCATGTCAGCTTCCGGGACCGGTGTAGTCAAACCCCTGGTTGGGTCAAGCTAGAATTCCCCATTCCTTGAAGAGCTTTCGCCCGCTGCTAGTGCAGTTGTGGTAAATGAAAAGAGGGAATGGCTGGTTACTGGTAGAGACAGAGAGAAGCGCCAGTCAGCGGATCCTCAGTCTCCTGAAGCCACTGGGACGAAAGACACAAATATGCCCACTCTCACTATCAACGTTAAGAGCGACGAATCGATCTCGAAATCGACATGTTTTAAGGAACGACAAAAAAGTACGACCCTGGATTTAAAGAAAAAAAGAAAAAGAAAAAGAAAAAGGAAAAGAAAAAGAAAAAGGAAAAGAAAATAGTTGAAAGACAAATTGGACAGGCAAAATCAAAGTCCACTCCCTAAACATCTTCTACTCCGCCCCCTCCTTCGCCACAAATACATCCTTCCTCTCGCTCATGTCCTGCCAAAATAATTCCACTCAGTAGAGATCCCACCCCTTTCAGACAAAACTCCTCTTATACTCCTCGTCATACTCCAAGTCCTTCCCCCATTAAAAATCCGGAAATGCCCCCTCCCACGAAAAGACACAGAAATCCTCCCCTAGAGACTAAGGATAAAAGGGAAAAAACAGCAAATAAACACACACACACACACACACACACACACAGAGACACACACACACACACACACACACATATATATATATATATATATATATATATATATATATATATATAACTTAAAGACCTCGCGATTACGGAAATAGGATCAAAGACTTAAAATATCTGCTATCAGTCAATCAGTACACTGATAAAGATGTGTAAGAGCCTCAAAGCTTTCCGGAGGCTCAAAGAGTATTAACAGTAATCAGAACTTGGTCAGGGGCACGTCCGGGTATGGGCGATGGTAGATGAGGCCATCATCTCATTTAAGATGACACTTCCAATTGCTATTGTAGAGAAATAAAAGATTAAAAATGTTGAAATAGATATTTTCGGGGAGGGTCCCAGTTTTATTTCACCCTTCCCTCTATAGAGCATTAAAATTGACATTTCCCTGGGATGTAGGCGGTTTCTTCTGTGACGGTATCAGTGTCCCAACCCTAACCAGTCTGATAATGGCTCTCTGGTTAGCAAGTTAGAATGCCCGGGGATTGAGGTCGGAGTCTCGAAGGGCAAGGCTCGATCGCGATTTTCAGCGGCTCGTGGTGGATGTATGTTGTGTACAGGAAACCCATTTTTAATCTCGCCATCTTGAAGACATTCTAAGAGGTTCCACCTCTATTCAGCATGTTTTGATGGACGCTCAAGAGGTGTTTCCTGCCTGGTGAGCAAGTCTGTGGATGCGGCGTGTGTTCTTATCTTAGCGGATCCGGCAGGTAGGCTTTGTACGCTGAATATTACCATAATGGACAAGGCTCTTTGTCTCAACGGGGGTTTATGCGCCCAATGACAATGCGCAGCAGTATTATTTGTTTCGGCAGATCGCGCCGTTTTTGATGACATTTCGTTTGGTAGTTCTAGCAGGTGGTTGGAATGCCGTCATTGATCCCAATATATATCGTATATGAGAAAGATCGGGTACTAATAACCCGGATCTTAGGCCGTTTCGGGACTTTCTCGGCGAGTTTGATCTTGTCGATAAGTATCGAAATGAGCACCTCCGAGAAGTAGTATGAACTTGAACTAGGAGTGGCAGCTCGGATTCGGTGGTGTGCGCAAGCTACATCGACTGATTTCTGTTTAAGAGTGTCGACGTAGGGCTTTTAGAATGTTCACGTTTCCATTATATAGTTTACTCGGATCATAGGCTTGTCTGGGTTCGGGTAAACTTAGATAAGCCTAAAGTTAAGATGGCTGGTTACTGGAAATTGATGAGCAAGATTTCCGGGACCAGCTTATACAAATGCAACAGCGGGATTGAGGTGGTCCATGGATGGGAATAAGTGGTGTGATTGTTTAAAATCAAATCTTAGGTCTTTTGCAGCGCAAAAGTCTTGTGAGAAGAAAGTAAATCGGGCGATCAAATCCCGTGATAGTGGGGACATAGCTTTACCTAAGGCGGAGTTGGCCTCCTTGCTTATCAAGAAGGATCAGCTCTAGTAGTTAGGGCTAGGCTAAAAAGAATATCTTGGGAAGCTACGAACATGGCCGCTGTATTGCGTGCAGGGGAAGCTCGAAGGGCATCTAGTCTGCATATCGTGAGTATCACATTACCGAACAAGCGGACTGTGACTACAGACATGAGTATTTGTAAGGCTTTCCGTGACTACTTTCAGGAGCTGTTTACCAGGAAGCCCGGTCTGAGTTCTGTTCAGTTCGATGCCTATTATCTGACTTTCCCTGCCTCGTGGCTCCTAGGTGCGTCGGCCCCATTACAGAATCTGAGATCTGGGATGTGTTTGAAGGAAGTTTGCCTGGACAAAACTCACACAATTTTCTTTGCCTTCTTTGTATCTCCTGTTTTATTAAGTTTCATTTTTTCAATCATTTTTCTTTTTCTTGTGAGGACATTTTTATTTTCTTCGTTCTTCATTTTCATTAGTTCATTTTTTTTCTCCTCTATTCTCTTAATGTTTCTTTTTTTTTTCCTTCGTTCTTTATTCATTTTGGCAACTTCCTTATTTCCTTCCGTTCTCTTAATGCTTCTTTCTTCTTCTTCTTGCTTGATTCCTTTTCATTTTTCTTCTTTGTTTACATTTCCACATGAAGTCAAAGAAGAATTTAACCATTTTTTAATCATGTAGCCATATTTACTGCTGGCTTTAGAAATTACAGAATTATTCAGACGAATGTAAAATACATTAGACTCCCGCTTACATATAAATTCTTACTAGTAATCCCGAAACTGTAACTAATATTGTCTTCATTAGTCAAAGAAAAAAAAACTCATCAAACCCTTCTGCAGCATTTAGTTAAGTTTTATCTCCTTGACGAAAGAGATTAAAAGATCCATTATCGTCTGGATATTTCTGCAGGTCTTTAATATAACAAATAGGATCGTTTCCAGCAGGCGCTGTTATTTTCGTGTTAAGATATGGTGTTTGGCTTCTTGAACTTATACTTTGTAAAGAAAGCTACTTTTAAGAAAAAAATCATCATTAAATCCACTTAAATAGAAATAGTAAGCTGCTGTGAAAATAATATGGTATTTCCTTGAGATGGGATGAAGCAAATGCTCAAGTGCAGCGAAAATTAAATTTATTCCCTAAGAACCCTGGGCTTATTATTAGCAAATGAAAAAAACACCCACCATGAAAATAATATTTTCTTTACTGTTTGGAAGAATATAGGATCTTGGACGAAAATAATTCTAATGCTGCTGCATTGATTTCCTCCATAATCTTAAGATTTTCCTATGAAGAATATTATCCCTTATGTTGGCTAAATAAGAAATTTACCGTGTCTTCTCGGTGTCAGTTTAAACTGACGATTTTACTTAATGTTTGTATTATCTTGATTTTAAATGAAAGCCTGGAAATGTTAAAAAATAAGCAACTTACAATTTTCAATTTAATCAAAGTACATTGCGATTTCTATTTAATGCGAACATTTGACGAACTGGATATGACGATAGACTACATCTGGCAGCAAGGCCTCTGATCGGGAAGTTTTAAGGAGCGGGTAAACCACCTTTACTGTTGTGTCCAGATGCACCCTGACCCGGGGTGGTAGCACTTGTTAGAGTCCCAGTTATGGGCAAATAGTTAACTCCAAAACTGGGGCCAAAAAACTATGAAAGTAGAAAATAGATTTTTACAGTAAAAATACCAGCAACACAATTTTGGGAAAAAAATGCCAGCAATACATTTTTGAAAAAATAAGATCACCAGCAATATATTTTCAAAAAAAATATTACCAGCATTATATTTTTGGAAAAAAAAAATACAAACAGTAGATTTGACTGACGACAAAAACCCCTCTTTACAAAAATACGTCAATGAAACGTAATCTACAAACTGATTCCCTACAAAGAATAAATATTATATTCATACGCATCTATCATAAAAATCTTATCTGCATTAAATGACCCACTGAGGTTCAGATTCTGTAAAACAAGCCAAATTTATGTCCGTTCAGCTTGCTTTAAAATTTTCATTTAAACGCTGAATCTTAAAGTTTTTATTTAGTGGAATTTAGAATTTTCAATTAATCAAATGTGGAGAAACATTTAAAATTTTAAAAGAGAATTGTTTATCATTATCAAAAATCATTTTGTCAAAAATTTCCAAATTCTCCAGCAAGAAATAAAAGAATTAAATTTAAACAGGAATTTTGTCATTGTGAATAATGATGCTAATGTTCTTGAGAAAATAAAATTCTTAACGACTGAATTTAATAAAAATGTCTTTTTTTTTCTTTTTTTTTTTTTTGTTCTGCACTCTACTTAATTGAACTGAAGAGTCTTCGTACTTTTAATAGCTAATCAAGATTAACTGTTTCATCCATGGGAATAATTAACACGTACATCAAATAGGATTTTCCCCCAAAATCATCGATTACCTCCCTTCCCGGTTTTTCCTTTTATTTCATAGAATTATTCTTACATTGTTTTCAGTAATGAAAAAGATAGATAGATAGATAGATAGATAGATAGATAGATAGATAGATAGATAAATAGATTTCATTATAATAAATGCACATACACATAAAGTATATTTAAGCTGAAAGTTTTCATTCAAACAGATTTTGTTAAGGTCTTGTTACATTCAACGGAGAATGTCTGTCTGTTAACTGGGCTTTTCCAATTTTTTCATAGGTTGTTGTTTATCGTAATCCAAATTGTGGAAAAACTGTATAAAGTTCATTTGATCTTCTTTGTTCAAATGCATTCTACAGTCTCAAGAACTGGGATTTATCAATAGTAGATAGACACTGTTGGATATAAGTAGGTATTTTTAGAGAGCTGATTTTTTTAGAGACTTATACATATTCCAGACATATCAAAAACTACTTTCTAATTCTTATTCTCTTTGCTATAGCGGTCGAAGCGTGTATCGATCCAGAGTCTTGTGATAAAAAATAACAATAATTAAATGGTGGAAATCAAATAATAAAATAGTACAATTATTGCATAATGTATCGAGCCAGAGAATAAAAAAATGGAAAATAAATTTTATAAAGAAGGAGTAATGATAGTTAGAAAACTATTCAGTAACTATGTGGAACGTATTGACTTAAAATGCCGGGATTACAAAGAATAACAAACAAACAGAAATAATGAAATTTGCTAAAACTGTCAAATAGGTTGGTTTATTTGTCTGGAAGGAAGAATTCTTTAAAACGCGTTGGCTGATGAAGGCTTAGAATATTGGAAACAAATAAATAAATTGTGTGGAGGGGTAAAATGCCAATGGCCCCACCCAGGTGAAATCCAGTTTGCTATAGGTTTCACGTCTTAGTTTTGTACACTTGACAAGAGTGGACAGATTTCTTTTTTGTTTCTTGTAATTTACGCGGGAATATTTTTGAGTAAATGCAGTGATATATATATATATATATTTTTAAATTCTCTTTAATGAAATGAAGCCATAATATTTTGATTCTCAAACTTTCCGTCCTAATAAACATTTTTTCTATCCCTCTCGCCTTGACATACACACACAGACACATGCACACTAGCACGTACCTTCAACAAACCTACGTATATAAAATCGTGTTTACACTAAATCAAAATAGTAAAAGGCGCCTCAGCATTGGGTAACATATAAAGAGCTCATCTTGTTGAGCATTAATATCTTGTTGCCATTTCGATCATCAATGGGTACCCCCTACTCATGACCTTGTGCTGACTTTTCCAAACGATTTGACGTGGAGTTAATAATCTTTTTATGGTTGACCATTAATAATGTTTAGTAAGTTCAAACCTTTTGAGCTCCCCACACACGTGATCTTATGCCAAACTAAGATGAGCTGAGTGCCAAGGGAGCTTCGACATAGATTAATGAATAACGAGCTTGTTTGATTGACCATTGATACCGAGTAATAAATTCAAGCCTTACTGGACACTCAAAACATGTGACCTTGTGCCAAACTAAGGTAAGTTGAATTTTTGACATGTGGTGATGAATAACAAGCTTGTCTGAATGACCATTAATATTGAATTGTAAGAATATCACATATTAGTGGCCTTACATCAAATTAAGGTACGATGAGTTTTCAACAGTACCTCCACGTGTGCTAATGGTTAATAAGCTTACCTGATTGACCACTAATATTGAGTATTAATTTCGACTCTCAGTGCGTACTCCATACTAGTGGCCTTGTGTCAAACTAAATTAACTGTAGTAAATATCGAATTAAAGAAATACAATAAAAACTGTTAACACTTCAAAGTTAAGTGAGTTTATCTCGCAGACCCTTCCTTGTAAGTTTTCTCGACCCTAGGCCCTATGAAAAAAAATATAAGAGGGATACTTTGTTGTTAGGATGTTCGCTTTCCAACCATGAAACCAGGGTTCGAATTTCACCATTGGAGATTTATCAGGAAGGTGATTACTTGATGTTTTCAGCTTGGGAAGGTGATCTCTTCTTGTAGTACGTTTTGAAGGTTCCTGAAAACCTGTTATGGAGTGATTTCACAGTGGAGGCTGGTATTTGTACTAAGTCGGTCCTAAAATAGGTTAGGAACTTGATATAATAGGTAATCTAGTTGTGGTCGCTGATACTTTAGTATTCGACTCACGGTCGTCCGGCATCGACTGACTGAGCGCTTCACTGAGCGACGGTATTTACGTGGGCATCATTTGGCACAAGGCCGGTTTAACCCCGGACGTGGGCATCATTTGGCCATTGAACCCGTATAAAAGGGTCGGTTACTCCCCGAAAGAGAATGCGCCCTTCGGCGTAGCCTCCTTGGATCTCCGAGTTCAACCGATGGGAACTCAGACCGATTCACTGAGTGACAATATTCAGTCACCCCCCACGAGGGCGCCATTGGAACCCTTATTAACGTGGGAAAGGCTCGGCAAAAATATGCCCATTGAACCCGTATAAACGGGTTCAGGGTCGGTTTACCTGCCCGAAAGAGAATCCGCCCTTCGGCGTAGCCTCTTTCGGATTCCTCCCCGCCCAAAGGCAGAGATTTTAACCGATCAGCCAGTCGACTGACTGAGCGACTCCCTCGTTACTCTTACTACTCCTACTTATTGTAGGTGGGAGAGTCTATTAACTATAGAATAGGTGTGTTCCACTATAACAAAACCATACCAAGCCTAGTAAGTGAAATTGTGTAGACGGAAATATTTGTGAGCCGTCGATGGTGGAGCAAGCACGAAGTCGCAAGACATTGTGCCCTAGGGCTTCAGCGAATTGGCCCTGTTCAGACTGTTGTTCACGCAGGATAATGTGCTCTTCCCCATAAACTGTAAAGTCCGCTTAGCATAGTTGCATTATAAAACAAAGGTGGGTGTTGAACAGCGGTCTGCAATAGAGATTGTTTAGCTATTCTAGTAGATAGGCATAATCAGATATGAGCTGTCAGCCCCCTTTTCGTATCCAGTCACGGGTGTTTGAAGCTGTTCTGCGAGCTAAAGAAGACACAATTTTGTTGGGACATCAGAAATGTTTGAATATATTGAAAATCAACCATCATGTATTTTGCGTGAGCCTTAGAACTCATGGCATAAAAACATAGGTAGAATAATATTTAAATAAGTGTTATGGGACCTTACCCATAATAACATAATGGACTATTCCATACGTAATAAA